TACATGGGACGTTGAAGAAGCACCAACTTTGCCCACTACGACGGACATACCAAATCGTTTGAATCTTGTATAACCAGTAAAGACTTAAACTTTATTTGAGATCCCATTTGGGATCAGTGGAAAGAAGTCGGGAGCAAAACTCCTTCTGCTGAGCTGTGACAGATTATGAATCTGAAAAATAAATTTAAATTTGTTTGCCTCATCTACTCATGCGGAGATGGCAGAACGGAAAACGAGGAGGAATGAGCACAAGTAGACAAGACGGTCTCATTCCAACAAAACATAAAAACACATCTCAAAACAACAAGATAACAAAGCTATAACGCATCACCGGCTAGTCACCATTTAATGATCTCCTCAGAGGGACAAGAGTTTCTTGCAGCAACACGATGCAATTTCCTGACACCAAGTATCCTGTAACTTTCTTAAACTGAAAGCACTTACACTACATATTGCATCAAGTCGTCACCACCTTATACAAATCGACACGAAGTTGAGAGTTGTAAATAGCTTTGGCTCGAACCTCTGCACGAGGTCTTGGAACTTACGAAAACAGATATTTGCTTATTAACCAGAAAATTACAATTTTTCCTCTGCAATGTGTAGGAAAGGGGACACATGACATTATTGCATCGCTTGTGCGTTGTCTTCACTGAGGTAAAGCGATTCAGAGTCTTTGCAAGGAAGGAAGGAATGATTGATCTGGTTATTGTGTTATTGGCCGAGTCAAGAGCTGCATAAGAGTATTTATCAAAGGATAACAAAGTTTTGAGAAACACACCCAGGGTACGCCGATTTTTTTATAGTCCAAAGTTTTACACTATTCTTCTAGGGAAACTGGTTTGAGTGGGTTATAATAAGTTTGCTATTAGTTATGTGAAGTGTGTAGTCATCGGAGATAGTTATTGGGGAAGTCGAAAACGAAGGGAGAAATTACGATACGTTGGACTCTTGAACCGCGAGTGATTCTCGCTTTCTTGCCCAGAAAATGATCTTCAGCTTGTTCCCTCAACGCCTGCTGCTGTGCGTTAAATGTGGCCTATGCTTTGAATTCAAAAAAAAATGCCTTCTTTTTCTTCTTTATCGTTTTTTGTAGGCTCTCAATTTTGGTTCGTTTGGTTCGACATCTTTTGGAGATCTTGAAGAGTCTTGCTTGGAGACTTTATAGTAGAGTCATCTTTGCTAATGCGTAGCCTAACTCATCAATATACAGTATATGTTTACAGAAGCTGAATCAACTATTTAATTTTTACATTGCAAAGCTGGTCACTAAAATGTAGAGCATTCTGCGCTGCAACACAATTAGTCAACGGT